CACTACTAAACGCGAAAGAAACACGTAATAGAAAAAATAGTGCATTTATTAATTGCACTGTTAATTAAATGAATTTAACCGATGAGACAAGAAGACCTATCCTGAACTAATAATATAACATACAATAAAATATACAGTTTTCATGAGCAATTTCAAAAAAGGATTACTCCTTTTTCGGAACTACACATGTGCTCGTCAATAATTTTTTGGAATAATTACAACCAGTAGCTCGTGCCGATTGGGACCTTTCATCCTCGGCATGATTGAGCACCGGAGGGACTTTAAATTTTTTGACTCACTCGTTACCAACCGTTATATCACATATATGTGGCATTTTAAAATAAAATGACACATGTACGTAATATGAACAGNTGGCTCCAAAACACTCCTACTTCGTAGCAAATGGTCCAGCTGCATCCCTCGTCCACCAGACCCATCGGAGAATTCCTTGATGCACTTTTCCTCGCACTCCCGTGACTCTAATAACGCGGTAAACGAATATAAGAAACTATAAAAGAGTTTCTTATCGCGAAACCGAAATTTTTCTTATACGGCGAACAACACTGACTCTACATACGCGTKTGATTTGAATTTAATTTACGCCCGGTCACTGACTCTATTTCGCGATAAAAATATTACTTTAATTACTCGTACAAACACTGACTCTACAATCTACTTCAAAGACTGCATTGCACGCAGTCAATGCAAAGAAAAATTTCACTCCCGATACATACGCGGTCACTTCACTGATGCACTTCACTGACTCTACTTCGCGAACAGTCTGTGCGACTGTTTTAAAATTAAAAAAACTATAACTTTATATACGAACAAACTGTAAATGCAATTAACTGCATTGCTCGCAATTAATTTAACATATAATTTTCAAAAATAAGGCGAACGCGAAACGCGACCGAATTTATTATTAACGAGCGAACGTGCTTCTACAATCCGTGATATTAATTATATTTATAAACGATCAAACACTCCCGGTACATTGCTTCGCGCACGAATTGCAATGATGTACTGAAAAAGAAAAAGAACAATTAATATCATAGTCGTAATAAAAAATCATTGAAAAATTATCAAAAAAATGTTTGATAGAAAAATTATACTTACTTTTAATCTTCAGTGATGAATGCCCGATGGGTCTCCTACCCTTA